CCATCTGACCACCGCCACTCCCGCCCCGGCCTCGACCGGTGTACAAGGCGGGAGTGTGGGGTCATTCCTCCACGTGTTTGCGACGGAGCCTGTCCGGTCGCCAATCCGACATGGACTGGCTTCCGGAACTTGGTATGGCTCCGCCGCGATCCCCAATCCGAAACCACGCTCAGCCAGGCCGTGCAGGAAGAGGTCCTGCGCCCGGCGAGCGTGGTTCAGATTGGCCTGCAGTATGCCCAGAGGCATTTATTTATTTACCACCGGGCTCCGCCATCATCACCTCCGCTAAAGAAGCGGGGGGTGTGGCGGCTGCAGACCGGGCCCTCGGGGGCCTTTTTTCTTTAGGGGCCTCCGTCGAGGTCCCACTATCTTCCGCCCCGCGCTTGCGGGTGTCGGAGGATACCGCGGTAATCTCGGTCAGCTTAACTGGCCGAGGTGTTTTCGCGGTACTTACCGCCGGGAGAACCTCCCGTCGTTTGTCCGGCCACCTTTTAGGGGGGGGTGCACTTGGCACTACCCACCGACCGGGCACCTCACCTTTTCGGTGCAGTTACGCGCCAGGTGCCCCGGTCCGCCACATCTGTAGCAGCAGCCCCTGCGATTGATGGGGCTGCTGCAGCGCTGCTGGACATGCCCCTTCTTCAAGCATCTACAGCATTGGAGCGGGCGCTTGTCCAGCAGCTCCGCTTGTGCCCGGGACCATCCTACTTGAATGGCCCGGGCTGCCTCTATTCTGTTAGCGGCCCTTAATGGGCACTGTACCCATACAGTGCCCAGGCCGCGGGTTGGGAACGTAATGTCCCCAACCCGCACGTCCGCCACCACGCAGCCCCTTCCCTGGGTACGGCCGCCGCGATATCGGCAGCCGCCAGGGATCGGTCGAGGCCGCGGAGCCGCAGCTCCGCTTTTCTGATGGGCCGGGCGAGACCGACCCCCTCCTCACCGGCAAACACCCGGCGGAGGTCGGCGTAGAGGGCATCGGCCCTCTGTGTCGCCGTTGGTCCGTTTTTCTCGCCCGACCCCGAGAGCTCTATAACCATGGCTCCCGTAGCAGCCTCGCGAACTCGGAGGGATTCTATTCCCAACTTTGGGAGGTCGATCTCCCCCCGGGCCTTTATCAGGGTATCCTGATAAGCCCCGTCGGCGCAGGTTATCGTAACCGCCGCCGATCGGGGCGCTCTACGCCTTGAGGCGTCTCCTCCGGGATGCCTCTTAGGCTGTTGCCGCTGCTGCCCTCCCCCAGTACGCTGTGTGGATGGCATCGCCCTCGCGGCACCCTTCCCGGCCGGGGGTTGGGCCGCTTGTGCGGCCTTTGTCCTAGCCGTCCTCTCCCTCCGCCCCACGACACTCGACCAGGATTCATCCTGGTCAGGGGCACGCGGGGGCAGGGGAGGGAGCCCCTGATTCCGTGCAGCCGGTCGAGGGTTGCTGGGAGGCGGCATCTTTCTCCGTCCTCCCGCCCCCGCCGGCACACCACGCGGAGTAGGGGGTGGGGGCCTTATGCCCCCCTCTTCTCCCGCACCACGTCCCCCTTTCTTCTTCCTCCTCTTCTTCCCCTGCCCCGCCGCCAAGACGGAAGGCCCCCCCAAGCGGGCGGCCGGCCGTCGAAACGGGCCCATGGGGTCCGCCCCGGCCTATTGCCGCCCGTAGGTCGACGAGGGCAGCGATTTGCTCGGTATACCAGTTATACCAAGCCCGCTCGCCCTCGCTGACGACCCCCGGCGGGTAGCTCTCGGGGAGCGGCGCAGAGGTACCCCTCAAAAGGGGCCTTATCGCCGCGCTACCCCGGCCACCCGCCAACGTTGGGGACCGAAGTCCCTTCACTCCCCCTGAGGACGTTGGGGACCCCTGTCCCTTAACTCCCCCAGAGTACGTTGGGGACCCGAGTCCCGGACCCCCTTCCCAACGTTGGGGACCGGTCCCCGTCGAGGAGATACGCGGGGGTGCCTGGGAAAGCGAGGAGGACAACACAGGGTGTAGTCCAAGGGAACGCGGAAACAACCTGTGCAGGAAAGACGATCTGAGAGGCGTTTTGGAGTATCGACGGAGGGCCGTCTGAATCCAGAGCACCAGTAGAAATTAAGAATACATTTAAAAAGCGCGTATTATTAGAAATAGTATGATATATTAAAAATATTAATAGTCATTTGATAATGTATTAGAGGCCGGAAAACGGTAGATTGATTTGAGTTAATATTAATAACGCGTTAGAAACCGCAGAGCGGTAGATTGATTTGAGTTATTTAATTTAAAGCGTTTATTTTGAAAGAATTTATTTAGTTCGTGGAGATTTGGTTTGTACAAATAATCTAGTCGAAAACGGATACCTGAAATAATTAAAGAAATTATTAAGTTCAATTCATACGCGCTAATGAGGCGACAGATTTAATTCGAGTACCTAGTATAGGGAATTATAACTAGATTAAGGTGTATATACATGTTCCGGTTTTATTATTATTTGTTTACGCAGAGTTACCTGTAAATACTTACCTGTAGCGGCGTCGGAGCCAAGGATACCTGTAAAAAGAGAAAGAATTAGTTGCATAAGGAATAAATATATGTGAGACACCCGGTGTGTAGAAAGCATGGCGCGCGAAGCGGCGCGACGAGCGGCGCGAACATCGGTGCGCAACCGAAATGCGCATGTGCGAGAGTGGGGAGCGAAGGGATGTGCAAGCTCCGGTAGCGAGATTAGAGGTCAGTCGGCGCAAAGCGATAGTTGAGAGAACACGTTATTCCGTTGTACATTTAAGACCCGCGAACGGCGCGTGATCCGTGGTAGTTCAGTTTCCTGGATTCTGGCAAGATTCGGGAGATTAAAGTCGATAGTTTAAATAATTGATTGCGAATAGTAATTCGAGTCACGTTTTTCATTAACAATTGTTATTTCGGCCCAATTGCGGGGCACCATTTTGTGATTTATTCACAAGTCTTATATTCAATAAACATATTCATTTTCAAACTTCAATTCAGTGGTCTTATTTCGGTCTTCGGGAACCCGGGGTGTATTCTTCAACAGGATCTTCAGGCTTCGCAGCTCTCGGCATCCCAGATTGGAAAAGATCGCATTCGAGGTGATTGTTCCGGCGAGAGGTGATCAAAACCAAGGAGTTTCGAGATTCCCGGCCACCCAGTTCCTATATCGCTCGATTGAAGTCCAATCCTTGCTGTTTAGAGGGTAAAAACAGCTGGCGACCGTATAATGGACAGAGAATCCACAGATTTCAATGGTATGAGTAAGTAATAAATCGGCTTGGCCGGTCACAGCTATATAATCGCGAAACATCGTTCTCGAGGGGAAGAATTTGCAACTTCGGATCAATCATTATCCACGGGTTGAATTTTGGCCGTGGTACAGTCTTTATTCCAAGCGCGTAAGCCCCACTAAAGAACATACCATTAATACAGTCTTTGTGTGGCGACCGTGACAGGACTTCGCGATTCTTTTTCGGTAATATATCGGGAGAGACGCGGGGCGAATCGAGTTTCGAATTTCGTGACGAATAATTAGCAAAAATACGCATTAACGTGATTCACCTGGCAAGTGATCACGCGAGCAATATTTCGACGCGCAAAAGCGAAGGCAAACGCGCGCAAACACATAAAAAGCGGACAGTGGAATCCGTCCTAAATAAAATTCCGATAGCGTGAGCGCGAGGATTCGGGAAAAATACAGCACGTTAAAGTACGTCGCGAAAAATTATTAAATAGAAAAGCGCGGGGAAAAGACCGCAGATAATTAATAAGATCGGTTTTGGGAGATAAATCGGTCGAAAGAGCGAAAAGGAACGGAAATATAGAAAACGAGAGGGCCGAACAGAGATCTCGCGACTCAAATTTTGATTATTCAAAAGCGCGGGGCGGATCGGTGGAGAAATCGTGAAATTTTCCGTTAACTTTGGGAGAGCGGGATAAAGAAACCGCGAAAGTAAAGAAAAAAGTAATAAACTAGCTGGAGATAAAAGCTAGATTAACGTAAAAATCGGGAAAAATTTTTTTTTCTCAGTATAAGAAAACGTAAAACGCAGAAAACGCGAGGAAAAGTAGCGAAATCTACAGAAATTACTCGAAAAAGCGCGAAGATTCCAGAAAAATCGAGTCCTGAACAGGATCGAACGTGTTGGATACGCGATACTAAAGATAAAAATCAAGAAAGCCGGGATACGCGGTTGATTGACGGGTGGAAGATAAGAAAGTTCGGAACGGGCTTTGAAACCCGATACCACTTTACGAAAGCAGTGGCGGCGCGATTTATACGCGACGCCGAAAGAAAGAAATAATATTTAAGAATATTCTTTGAGAATATCGAGAATATTTCTTCAAAACTTTGAAATAATTTTATTTTATAAGATTATACGAACATATACTTGAACATTTATTGGCTGTGTTTCGATTATGTATTTATATGGATATTTATATGAATTTATATGTATTTGTGTGAAACGGTAATTGCGCATTGTTCAAATGAATGGAAATAAGTATAGCAAAAGAAAGTATTAATATTATAAACCTTTAAAACAATTACAAAAAAGAAATTGAAAGAATAACTGAACAAGTTTATTTTACGAAAAAGATTAAAGGAACATAAAAGTAAATGCAATAGAACAATAGTGATTGAATTTAAAGATTTTAAGAGAAAATTTAACTACATTGTAAAAGAAAAGATACAAGAGTAGAGAAAGACAAAGATTAAAGTCAAAATTGCGCACGCGTAACAGATTTTGATTTCAGGAAGACGAAGAAGGGAAATAAGGAAGGAAGAAATAAAATAAAAGTCATTGACGCAAACAAGTACAAGAAATATAAAATTTATTTAATTTTCCTATCCCTATACAAATAAATAAAGGTGTATTAACATATATTAATTTGTGTGCACTAATCGATATTCATTTCAGCCGACGTTACGTAAAAGACGAACGAAGTACATACGGACGGACGATCGCGAGACAAATCGGTCAAACGCGGGGAAAGAATAGATATAAATTAAAATCGCGAACAAAATGAGCAAAGACAAGCCGACAATGCCGATTCCTAGATCACCGGTAAAAGGGGCTAAAAAACAAACCGCGAGCGAGGAAATAAACGTGATTACGCAAGTAACGGCGGAAGCGGAACGGCTTAAAGAACAGAATAGCAAGTTACGCGAAGAAATGGAATACCTGAAAGAAAAGTTAGAAGATTTAAAAACGGATAGGGAAAATGGACCAGGAAAATCGGAGGAAGATTACGCGAGAGAATCGGGCGCGCGAAGGCGACGCGATAGACCGCATCAAACGCGAGAAAATACCGCGTACGCGAGCAATAGTCTAGGAGAGGAAAATACAAACATGTTAGGAAACGTTAGATTACCGCGGGGCGGGTGGTTAATGGACCCATTCGCGGAGATAAAATATAAGAGAAGAGAGGATGGACAAAATCCAATAAAGTTTCTGAGAAAATTCGAGAAAATCGCGGATTACGAAAATATCGATTATAGAGACCAGTTACATTACTTTAAGAAATGTATGAAGGGAAACGCGAGTAATTGGATAGAGGTAAATGATCCGGACGATATTGAAGAAGCGAAAGAGTCTTTCCGGGAATATTTCTGGGGCGACGAACAACAAGCGAGATTTCGAGAAAATCTATATACCGGGAAATACAAATCGGAAAAGGGAGAAACGATGGCGGAATACGCGATGAGCCTTGCGAGACAGGCAAAGTATTTAGAGCCACCGATGAGCGATCACGAGATAATTAGGTGCGTGAAAAGGCATTTTGGAAACAAAATTGCGCGAGAAATACGACCGTCGACCGCGAAATCAATCGGCGAGTTAACCAGTCTATTAGATGATATGGAATATGAGAAAAAGATAGTTAAGCAATCGAGAAGACAGAATACGGAAGAAAATCAGTTAAATGCGAGGAAAACGTACGATACAAGGCAAAGGCCGGAAACCGCATTTAGGGATAACGGACCGAGAAGATTCAACGAACAATATCCGCGATACGGACCCGATAGAGTATACGGAAGTTACGCGTCGGGGAATCAGAGAGGAAGATGGATAGATGAAAAT